TATAAAGAAGGTATATGACGTAGAGAAAGGTCTTGAAGTCATTGACGCTTTACATAATAATCCGTGTACTGCCGTTCCGGTAGTACTCAAACGACTTCGGCAAAAAGATGAAGAATGGAAACGAGCGAGAGTTTGTATTGCCTTTAATTGTTCCAAGTTTATTTTTTGTAAATGACAATGTAAATGTTATTTATTATTGTTAGAGAGAATGGAATAAAATATGGAGAGAGATTGATGCCAAGAATTATTACAAATCTCTGGACCATCAAGGAATAACATTCAAAAATGATGATAAAAAGGCCTTAACGCCTAAATATTTAGTTGCCGAAATCGAAAATCTCCGCCGCGAGCCTTCTGATGAAGGTGAGCCTGCTGAATATCAGTTCAAATTCATTTTTAAAGACTTAGAGGTCTTCAAGGATGTGGCTCGCATTCTATTCGGTTATATGGATCGATCATTAACGGTAGCACCGAGCGATCGTGAAAAGATCGAACGTTTTTTTAAGACTTTTGTACCAAGCTTTTTTGACCTTTCACCAACTATGTTTGATGGCATAAACCATGAAGATTCTGCTATGTTAGTTGATAATGAGGAAACATCGACCAACATATCAACTGATAATATTGATGGGGAACCTTTAAATACGGAGCCAATAAGTGGAATGTGGATTCAAGTTTCAAAAGAATCTCGTGAAAATATTCGAGCCGTTGTTGCTAATGCTGGAAATGCGAAACAGAAAAAAAAGTCAACGTGCTATTTCTTTGGGAATAATTCCTTTTACTGCTTTTTCCGATTTTTGCAAGTAAGACATAGCATTGTTCCTTTTTGGTTTATAAAATATCGCTTATAATTCGTTTTACTAGATGTTATTTAGCCGTCTCGAAACGATGAAGGAAAGTGCGCAAGAGATTTCATCATCAACATCTCAAGTTAGGGGACCAAGTGCTGTAGCCACTGAATTAGGTCTCCTACCAGATCGTATTGATCGTAAGCCCTTAATTATATTTTATACTTTCGTGAACATTACGAACTACCGTTTTCGATAAATCTCGATTATTTATCAGTTTTTACATCCTACTTACATTGTTGTTGCTAGCCGATGTTGACATGGATTTGAACAGAGGCGATCCATATGCTGTTATGTTAGAATTAATTGAAAAACAATTTGATGGAGATATGGAATTGTCGGTTTTTGAGGAATGCCTTCGATATATATATGGCACAAAAGCATACATAATGTTTACTGTGGATAAACTTGTCCAAAATATGACTAAACAAGTAAATTTCAAAAATTTTTGCTTCATGTTTATGTTCATTTCATTTATCGTTAGTTTAACAAGGTTTATTTTTAAGATGCAATTATTAGTGTCAGATACAAAGTCGAATACATTGATCAACCTGTTTGAAGATAATAAAAAAAGACACGACCAATCAAGCGTTCGATCTCATATAATGTATCAATTACACGCTAATAGTACTATTGGATATGATGAGCCAACATATCGAATGGATTATGTACGTATTCAATTTTTATAATATTTTGGAGTTTTTGTTAGGAAAACCAAATTTAACTTTCTTAGCTACCTAGTAATCCAACTGAATAAGTGAAGTTTAATAAGTTCAATCAAAGAAATTAAATTGGATTGCTAGATAATCAGCTATCTAATTTTACTTGCAAAATTTGTGTTTTTTTCCTTGAAAATGACTTCACGGAACATAGTAAATTGCTATGTTTCAATAAGGTCATTTTCAAGGCAAGGCCATATAGCCTACCAAGGTGGTTTTCCTAACAAATCTCATTTAAAATTCTGCTTTCAGTAATATAATTATAATTTTTGTTAGGATAAGGATGAGCGAGCTCTGACGATATTGTTATCAGGGCGTGATTATACATTGGGTAATGCAGTTTCGTCTGAGGGTAAATGGGCGTATTACATGTATAGTTACATGTCGTTGAACCCTACTGAAGGCGTGTCAGCGAAGACGGAGCGACCTTTCCTTAAAAGGTAATTATTTTCATATGAAATACAGTATTAGAAAGTGGTACGGTTTATGTCGTAATTACCGTTGGCCACTGCTTACAGTGTCCCCCCGAAAATAATTCCTACCACCTAAAGTACACCCTTCTTCACTAATGAGATTTCTGGATTCGTGAATAGCATCCAGTACTATTCAATTTTAAAAATAAAACTCTGGGTACTGTAAGCAGTGGCCAACAGTAGTACAAATGATCTTCGAATTGCGAAAATTGAACTTTTATCGGCAATAAAGCACTTATGTACAATTTATTATTGTTTTTTAAATCATAGGAACTTACCATCTGTCGATGTTTCAGAGCAAATAATGTCCAATGTATTAACTCGAAATGGTTTGGAAATCAAAATTTGTATTAATTCATATCACGTTTTCTTCGTTAACAATACTGAAGATAGTTTTAGAAGATTGAATTCTGCAGTACCAACGTCAAAGTTAAAGGAAGATACTGCTAAACGTAAAAAAACTTGGCTACGTTGGATAGATTCAAATAATAGCGATCAGATGGAAATGTAAACTGACAATAATACTAATTGGATTTTATAATTTGGTGCATCTGCATCCATTAATCACGTGATACGAAATACGTACAATATAATAAACTTTATTAAAAGTTAAATTAAAAAAAATCACTACATATCCAAAATCGTTGCGCGCAATATTTTGAATCATCGCATAACATTCAACCGATCATTAAATACCTATTTAACAAACTAAACACTAACTGACCCTAACCCTATCTAATGTTTTTGATGGCACCAAAATATGGTAACCACTGTAATGAATTATTTTTATGGTCTTACCTTTTTGGGTGTGATTATTAAAGGTCCCGCATGAGCAGTGTGCATATTGAAGTCATAAAGTAGGTTCCAAACGTGTTCTCTTTCATATTGATCAAAAATGTATAAAAAGTGAAACATTTATTATAAACAGAACCTCGTTTCCACGATGATCTTCTTTCATTAAGTCGCTCTTAGAAACCCGTATCATTCAATCCACAACTTATAGCAGCGGTTGGAGCTACACTGCGCATTCATTATGCGTCGCTCTTCCAATCAACCGTTACACCACAAAGACAACACGAATAACGGCGGCACGGCACGAACTGTTACCAGCGACGACCATCAAATAAAAGTGGGGAAGTTAGTTATACGATAACAAAGAAAAAACTATAGAATAGGTGGCAAACTCCGCTAACTCCGCCAAATATCACGTGAATATATTAAAAAATTAATGATTACTAATCATCGACGAAGCTTATTTCTTAAAGAGGAACCCCAGCCCACAAGAAGGAAATCGAACAACGAAACTCATCTCAAAGGCAACATAAATAACGCGACACCCACCTAAATTGGAAGTACTAAGAAAACGGAGTGAACGGCAACTGTGAAAAGAAAATGAGGAGGTTAGTTATACGAAAACTAAGAAATAGCACCAAAAAAACACCAACAACACCAGATCAAATGGCATGAAGCAACGTTATTAAATGTAAAGTGGGAAGTTTAGTTATAACACCCACCTACAACGGCGACACAGCGCAAAACTGCACCTATGACGATTCCAGTAACGACGACTTCGACGTGAATTAGCTGCGAATAAAAGAATATTTATCCCGTGACTAAGGGTGTACCACGGTGCACCAAATTATAATACGACTAGGGTTGTAAAAAATATTATACGGTATAATAATATTGGTATAATTGGTATAATATTGGTATAATATAAATTAACCAATAAAATTTAGTCATATTAACTGTCATACGAATAAATTCCGATTTTAAATCACGTGTTATTATACCGTTATTATACCGTATAATAACCGGTTATTATACCAAAAATATATTATATCGTATAATTACATCCCTAAATACGATTTTCTACAGGGGATCCCCAGATTTCCGGGTCGGAATGGCCGGAATGCGTCGTGGTTAGGGTCGGGGTTAGGGCTGAGTTAGGGTTAGCGGGAGCTATAGGCTATAGTAAAATTATCAGCTGGGCACTTTTCACTTAATGAACGACTATTGTTTCATTAGTAAAATTCTTAGTGATCTTGGGGCAAAATCGATCAACTCCGGCCCTTCCGACCAGAGTTACGAAGCTTCTGACCCGGAATTCTGGGGATCTCCCTGTAGGAGTTCTAAATACGACAGGGTGAAACTAAAATTCAGTAAAACCCGAAACCTTTAAGTGAAAATATCTCGACAACCACATGGCCAAATTCGATGGAAAGTTTTTTATTTGAATTCTATGGATTCATAGAATTCAAATAAAAAAATTTCATCGAATTTGATGAAGTAGTTATCGAGATATACTCAATCAAAGTTTTAGAATTTTCAAAACGTCCATAATATATATAGTAATAGCTGACGAAAATTTTTCCCAAACTTTGAGTAAAGATATCTCGACAACCACATGACCAAATTCGATGAAAAATTTTTTATTTGAATTCTATGAATTCATAGAGTTCAAATAAAAAATTTTCATCGAATGGTATCGAGATATACTCGAAGTTTTGGAATTTTCAAACCGTTCATAATATATATAGTAATAGCTGCACGAAAATTTTTGCCCAAGCTTTGAGTAAAGATATCTCGACAACCAAAGTTTTAGAATTTTTCAAAACGTCCATAATATATATAGTAATAGCTGCGCCAAATTTTTGCCCAAACTTTGAGTGAAGATATCTCGACAATTACATGACCAAATTCGATGAAAATTTTTTTATTTGAATTCTATTAATTCATAGAATTCAAATAAAAGAAGGTTCCATTGAATTGATGCAGTGGTTTTAGAATTTTTCAAACCGTCCATAATATATATATAGTAATAGCTGCGCCAAATTTTTGCCCATCAAATTCATAGAACACAAATAAAAAATTTTCATTGAATTTGGTCATGTGATTGTCGAGTTAGTTATCTTCACTCAAATTTTGGGCAAAAATTTTGTCGCAGCTATTACTATATATATTATGACGTTTTGAAATTTCTAAAACTTTGATTGAGTATATCTCGATAACCACTATATCAAATCTAATGGAAATTTTTTATTTGAATTCTATGAATTCATAGAATTCAAATAAAAAAATTTTCATCGAATTTGGTCATGTAGTTGTCGAGATATAACTCAAAGTTTGGGCAAAAATTTTGGCGCAGCTATTACTATATATCTAAAACTTTGAGCATCAAATTCGATAAAAATTCTTTTATTTGAATTCTATTAATCCATAGAATTCTAATAAAAAAATTTTCATTGAATTTGGTCATGTGGTTGTCGAAATATCTTCACTCAACTACTCGTTACTTCTGTACTTTGTAATTTTGTCTAAAAATTAGAAAGTGTTGACCTTAAATTTACAAATT